CAACTGGCGGCCGCTGTGCTAACTAATCCTCATCCTGGGGTGCGTGTTGTGCCAGGAGCCCCCCGATGTCCCTCTCATGGCATCTGTCCTTCACACAGGCATCAGAACTAGGCCACAGCTTGAATGAGAACGTTTTCAAACCTGCCCAGGAGAAGGTAACACGCCGCCTCCCAACGCTGGGCACCAAGCATCCTGTCCTCGGGAGGGTATGGTCGGTGCCGAGACCAGGGGAGGACTCACTGTGCTCCCGTAGGGCGGTGGCGCGGGCCCCGCCCCTTCTGGAGGCGGGGTCACGGCCCTGGGCCGGCAGCTCTGGCGCTGCGGGCTGCTGCCGCAGTGGGCGTGGTGCTTCCACCCTCTTTAACGACACTGTCTGACCTACGCAGGTGAAGGAGGGAAAGATCTTTGATGATGTGTCCACCGGGGTCTCTCAGTTGGCGTCCAAGGTAGGGCGCCCGCCGACGTGCAGGCACCGCTGAGCGTCTCCGCATTCCGGCACCCGGAGCCGAGGGCCGAGCACATTGGGCCCAGGCGCCACTGCACTGGGAGGCAAAACGAGGGCCGGTAGTCTGGTCCCTTGGTGCCTTGCCCGCAGCTGCAGGAATGTGGGAACGCTCAGCGGGGTGGCACAGCCTCTAACCTGTTGCTTTTCTTCTGGTCCTTTCTTGCTGCCGCTGACCGTCCCTGGTGAGTGCCGGCTGGCCGGGCCTGCGGGGACGCCCGTGTCCACCTCCTTGCTGGGTGGGTGTGTGTGTGCCTGTGGCCCTGCTTCCCACCTGGCCGGCCGGGGGAACCGGGGACAGCGGGGAGGGCTTTCGCTGCATCTCAAGCTCTGCTGCGGGGCCGGGAGCAGAGGCTGTAGGCATGCTCCGAGTCCCAGCCTGGCTCACCTCCATCCCCGCCCCTTCCAGGTCCAGGGAGTCGGCAGCAAGGGATGGCGAGACGTCACCACCTTCTTCTCTGGGAGAGGGGAGGACCCCTCGGACAGGTGGGCCAGGTCCCCGTCCTGACATGCCACTTTCCTGCACTCTTCCCATGAGGCCTCTCGGAGGCAGTTGTCCTGGGGCTCAGGGGGTCCCAGCACAGGAGCCCCCAGAGGTGCAGAGGCCTAACCCTAACCCTTGACCCAGGGGGTTGCTGCTGCCCAGGGCTGGGGGTGTATCACTCCACCCCCAAGGGCAGGTCAAGTCAGGCAGGCCAGGGCAGCAGCGGGGAGGTGGGGAGGTGGGCAGGAGGCCTTGTGCAGAGGGCAGCCGGTTCTGCGTGGCGCGGTCCCCGGTCCCGGTGCTCACCCTCCGTGCTCCGCTCGAGCGCGGCCCTTCCTGCTGGAGCCCAGTCTGTTGTCCTTTCCTCTGACCTGCCGGTGGCACTGAGGGTCTAATGGGCAGGTGCTCCTGGCCGGCCCTGGTGTGTGGTGTCAGCCCGCTCTGGGATGGGACACGTTGCCCTTGGCCGTGGGCCCAAGGCCACCACTTTCTTCCTGATGTGCTGGCTGCCGGCCCTGGGTTTTCTCCGCTGCCCCCTTGGAGACGTCTGCCGGGTGGGTGCTGGGGCAGGGGCTGTACACGCCCACTCTTGGCCCGCTGTGGTGTGAGGGGGACGGGCCCAGTGGGGCCCCACGGGGATGGGGGCTCAGGGAACGGCCGCTCAGAGCCGCCCTCTTCCCAAGGCCCCCGGAGGGCCAGAGCTACCAGAACAGCACCATCGACCGGAGCTTCTGGGAAACCTTCGGGAGCACGGACCCTGCCCAGGCCCACAGGTCCCCGAGCAGCGACAGCTGGACGTGCGCGGACGCCTCTGCTGAGAAGCGGAGCTCGGACAGCTGGGATGTGTGGGGCGCGGGCTCCGCGTCCAACCACAGGGGCAGCGACAACAGCGACGGCGCGGAGGGCCCGGCCAAGCCCGCCGGGAGGGCGGCGCCCAGGGCCACGCAGGTGGACGAGGGCTGGGACAACCAGGACTGGTAGCCACACATGTGCCCTTCGCTCGGTCTCCTCCCACGTGACCCACGGGACACCTGCCACGACGTGAAGACAGCGCCTTGGGCGGGGCCCTGCGGTGCATGCCGCCTGCCCACACGGGGGACTCAGGGCCCGGGGCTTGCTCTGCAGGCCCATTGGCCATGGTGGGCAGGGTGGGGCCACTGTCACACCCAAAGTGTTCCGCTCTCCTGGAGACACCACGCACGCTCCAATAAACATCCCCCCGCTGCAGGGCAGCCCGTGTCCCTGCTGTGACCTGCTGCCCTCAAGCTCCCTGCCTTGTCGTTCTCTGTGAAGAAAACTGCCCCATCTTAGGAGACGGGTTCCAAGGGCAGCACCAGAGCACCCCCTGTGTCTGCCCCACCCTCCACGGGGGTCCACCCCACCCCCTCCCCAGCTGGGTCAGCACTGGGCCTTGCCTCTCCTTGAGCCTGCAGTGGTCCCAGGGCGCCCTGTACGGCTCAGCATGGGGGCTTCAGGGGTGGCCAGGCAGGAAGGTGGGTCCCTCCCACACTAGGCCGGTCACAGAGGGGCCTTTGTCTGCAGGGTGACCGGGTGGTAGCATAAGGAAGACAGGGTGGCCCGCCTGCCCCTTCGTGGTGGGGAGATGAGCTGAGCGAGAAACCCCAGACCCGGCTGCACGAGTCCTGGGCTGGGCCTGCTCTCTGGGGCGCGGGGGTGCGGGGGTCTGAGACCCCCGCCGGCGGAGCACTGGCGTCGTCGTGCAGGGCTGAGCGAGGCAGGGCCTTGGGGCCCACCCCAGGTCCCCCTCCAGTGTGACGTGGAACTCTGGGGTGCAGGCGGGACACAGGCCAGTGGGGGCCGGCCTCTGCCTCTTCTCCCAGAGCCCTACCCAAGGCACGGCCAGCAGACCCTGAGGTCAAGCCCTGCCCTGCTTAACTTTCCCCCCTGGGACTCCCCTGTGACCATCAGTGCCCACCCACTTTGCACAGGGCCACCTCCCTGCTCAGCCAGGCAGGCCTGCCTCGGGCCCCTGGGCCACTCCCAGGACCCCACACCCAAGCCAGGGGAGCAGGGGGCTTCTGCTCCCTCACCTCAGAGTTAGCCCCTGGGTCCACCTCCCTGTTGCAGGGGCTGGGCTGGGCCCTCGCATGACATTTGGGGGAGGACAACCGAGACACAGGCTGCCCTGCCCCTCCCAGCTGCGCCCTGGCAGGCATCTCAGGCCTCAGCCTGCTGGGTGCAGGGACTCAGGCAGGCCTACGGGCCACCCGTCCAGCTAAGACGCCAGCCTCACGCATGTGGAGGGGGCGCTGTGGGCTGTGAGTGAGCGCACACACGTGTCCCGAGTGCCCAGGAGCCTGCCCAGGTGCCCTCTACTGGTTGCTTCCCGGGACTGCAGAGCCCATGGATAGCCCACGCGGGTCCTGGGACTCCCCAGGGCCTGCAGGATGCCCTAGTTCTCAGGTGGGGTGGCTCCCGGCTCAGGAGCCGTCATGACAGCTGGGGGAAGAGCGGCTCCACAGGGGCCTCGGAGGACTGGGGCAAGGACTGGGGCAAAGCAGCTCAGTCTCTTGGCCCAGGCTTCCAACGTGTGGGCCGGGCTGGTGGGCCAGGGGAGTTTGGGGAGGGTGGGGAGCCCCCACAGGAGTTGAGGGAGGCCCGCCCCACCTGTCCAGCCCCCAGCGGACCTTGCTCAGCAAGCAGCCTGCAGCCCCCCCACGAAGCCCTCTGTCTGCAGAGGCAGGCCACCCACCCTCAGCTCCCTGGGCAGGACACCCCGGTGAGGCTCCGGTTCCCAGGGCTGGGCCTCAGGGCTGTCGGGGAGTAGCCGAGCTCCCGAGGCACGCAGACTGAGGGAGGTGGGAGCCTTGGGGCCTGTGCAAGGGGCTCGGGAGATCGGGAGCGTGGGCTGGGGTGCAGGCGCAGGTGTGGCCCTGGGCTCCAGGTGCTGCTCCGCCCCCCCCTCCCCCAACTGCCAAGGAACCGGTGCCTGTCATCCACGTCTTGGTGTCCAGGGCTGCTCTTTGGGGCCAGCCCTGCAGAGTCAGGGGTGGAGGTGCTGGGTCAGCGCTGTAGCCCCACCAAGAGGGGTCCCCGCCCTACCGTTACCCGGGGTCCTTCATGCAGGGACTGCTGTCCACTCTTAGAGGGATGTCCTGGGCAGCTGTCAGGAAGGGTGGAGAGCGGGGGTGGGAGGAGGCCGAGGGGTGGGCTGGGCAGTGACGTTGCGGGAAGAGGCCTCTATAAGCCCGGCCTCCCTGTGGCTGAGGCAGGCAGGCCCCCAGTGGGTGCGAGCAGGTTGGTGAGTGGCCTGTGGTCCTGGGGGCTGGGTGGATGAGGAGGCCCCGGGGCTGCAGCCTTGACCATTCAGAAAGGCGGGGGTGTCACTGAGGGCTCTGGGCCCCCGGGAGAGGTCCCACTGAGCCAGCCCTGGGTTCCACGCCCGAGGAGCCCAGGAGCTCGGCCGAGGGGTGGCATGCCCGTCCTGGCCGCCCCTCCCTGGGTGAGGCTGGGCTGAGGGTGGCCAGGGCCTGAGACCCTATGCTGGGTGTCCCTCTGTCCCATCAGCAGAGGCCCAGCAGTAGCCTGTCGGGCCCCCCAGGACCCCACCCTGCCTAGAGGTTCTGCTCAAGCTGGGCCCACCTGTCTCCTCCCCAGGCGGTGTGGCCCTGACAGCAGCCGTCCGGCCTGGTCTCGTGATGAGTGAGCAGCTGCAGCCACGGTCAGGTGCACGCTGGCCTGCAGACAGGGTCCTGAGAGTGGGACGCGGCCAGGCGGTGACTGAGCCGGCATCTCGGGGTGGCCGGCAGGGGGGCAGCCGGCCTCTCGCTTCCGGAGGCTCCTGCCGGGCCCTGACGAGGCAGCCGCGGTGCACAGGGGCGGTGGCTGTGAGGGAGCACTCAGGGTCTCCACAGCTACGTGTGGACGTCCAGAGTGGGCTCAGGCCCTGGCCCACAGGCCGTGGGTGGTGAGGCTCTGGCATGGTGGTCAGGAGGGGACAGACAGACAGACAACAGAAGGCTGAGTGGCCTCTCATCCCGCAGGCTGAGCACCATGGGTGTCCATGTGTGTCCCCATCTGGGGGTCTGGCTGTGGCTGGGTGTCGCCCTGGGCCTCAGCCGGGGACAAGGTAAGGACACAGGGTGGGGACTTGCTGGGGACAGAGCCCTCGCCTGCCCCGGACCGCACTGTGGCTGTCCCCAGTACAATTTGTGCCCAATCCGTACGCAGGGCGGGACAGCCGGAGGGCTGGTGTGGGCCCCTCCGCCAAAGCCTAGGCCTCAGGGGGCTGCTTGACCTTCAGCCTTGCAACCTTTCACCTTGCCTTGGGGATGCTTCTGCTAAAAAAAACCAGCTATTGGCCCACCGCTTTTCATTGTCATATGAATGTTTCATTTTCAATTTTGCCACAGACGTTTTTCCCACATCAAACTTTCAAACACCGTAAGCCTACAGTAAGAGTGACCCCACCCACCCCGAACCCAGGGTGTTGGCTCTTGGCTTCTGGCACCTTCCCAGCTCCTTTAAGGCACACGACGGGGTCAGGTCACATTCCCACCACCTTCACCCCCGGGTCCCCACGAGGTCGAACGCGGTGTCTGCTGAGTGTGCCACAGCCAGGCTGGCGGGAGCCGACCTGCACACCTGTTTGCCTCACGTCGCCCTCTGTCTGGTGGTGCGCCAGGCGGTGGCGGCGGTTTGGGGGTCCCTCCAATCCTCGTGGCTCTGATGGGACACACCACGGGTCACTCAGGTGCAGCCAAGTGACCGATGACAAGATGAGCTCAGGACTAGTGAAGCCAGGCAGCCCCGCCCGAGGAGGCCTGCGCGTGGGGCTCCTCAGCGTCTGCCCCTCAGCGTGGGGACCACGAAAGGCAGCATGGGGTCCCCAGAGGCACAGCAACACACAGAGGGCCCTTCATGAGCCACAGCTGGCCCCCGGCTCACAAATGGCTTTTCAAAGCCCCCACCCCAGGCCAGACATTCCTGTCCTCCCGCCCCTCGCTCCCTGGGAGCCGCTGGGCCGCCCGGAGCTGGGCGCCTCCGCCCTGCTCTGAAGCCGGCATTGTGTCTGCCTGGGCGCCCCCAGCCCGCTGTGGGGGGACCAGAAGAAACCCATCTCTGTCTCCATTTTCCAAAAATAGCCACCCCACCATGGGGCTCCCGGAAGCCTCCCTGGGAGGTCAGGCCCCGCCCTGGAGGTCAGGCCACTGCTGTGTCCATCCTCCAGGGTAGCCACCCCTGGGAGACCCCTACTCCTATGGAGCACCCTCACATCCTGGGGTCCCCACCCCCAGCTGCTGTGACCTTGACAGCTGGGGGTCAGCCACAGCCACACAGCTGCTCTGCCCACTGCCCTCCCTTCACACTGGGGCCTTGAAGCCAGAGGCTCCAGCTGCCTGGTGGGCTCAGCACCTGCGGCTGCTGGCAGGGTAGTCGTCACACCAGGAAGCTGGCCTGGGCCTCCCTCATCCACGGCCAGGGACACCCCTCGGAGAACCAGTGGGGGCAGCCCTGGCACCTCGGACCCATTGGAGGACCCGGTCCCCCTCCAGCCCTGGGTGGGGCCTCAACTTCTCCAGGTGCCTGCCCGTGGGGCCAGGGCCCGTCCGACCCCCCAGTGGGGCCAAGGCCTCCTCACACTGTTCACAGCAGGCACCCGGCCCCCCACAGCTGCTGGTGTGGTCACTGGCAGCGAGTCCTGACCACCCTGTCCTGTCCCCTCAGCAAGCGGCCGCCTGTGGCTGGCGGTGCTGCCTGAAGACCGGCTGCAGATGAAGTGGGCGGAGTCGGAGAGGCCTGGCCTCGGCTACCTGGTGCAAGTGAAGCCCATGGCAGGTACGGGCCTGCGCCTCCCTGTCGCTGTGAGGGTGGCGGCATGCGCGCCCTCACTGCACCTCGTTCTGCGTCTCTGCATCCTCGAGTCTGCGGGAGTCCGCCACACCTGCTCTGGGGGTGGGGGTGGGGCACGGAGCCAGGGAACACGTGTGCCACGGGGGCTGGTGCCCAGCAACGCGAAGGCTCCAGTCTCCGCCCCTGCGCAGAGCCCCTTTGGGTTCTGCGTGCCGGCGGTGGGCGCGGAGGGACAACCGGGACAGGAGGGAGGCCCGGGGGTCCTGCAAGGCCCCGCCATGCAGGCCTGCCCCCGAGCTCCGCAGCCGTGACCAGGGCACGAGTTTTCAAAACCCTAAAGAAAGCTCACAGGCACGAGTGTGTGGTCACAGGAAGGGCAGAGAATGGCACGGGGCCAGGAGGACGCACCACCTGACGCACACACGCACCTGTGCACGCACACCCGCCCCCGTGGCCTCAACAGCTCTCCCTGCCCCCGCTCCAGGGGACTCGGAGCAGGAGGTGATGCTGACCACCAAGACCCCCAAGGCCACGGTGGGGGGTCTGAGCCCCTCCAAGGGGTACACCCTGCAGATCTTCGGGCTCACGGGTTCTGGGCGTGTCCTGCTGGCTCGGAGGGCGTTTGTGAGTAAGTCTGCTGCCCTCCGCAGCTCCCGGTTTGGGGTGGGCCGGGTGGCTGGAGCTGAGCCTTGCAGCCCCTCCAGATGGGGTTCTCCCCAGGCCTGAGTTTGCGTTCTGCCCCCAAGTAGCCTCAGTTATCACCCCTGACACCCCTGCCCATTTCCTAGGCGCCCCCAGGCCTCTGGAGGCTCTGCTCCTCCTTTGTGGGGTCCTGGCAGCCCCTTGTGTTTGCCTGCAGTCGAGGACTTGAAAAGTCACCCTGTGGGTGGGAGCAGCTGGAGGCCCCTGGGGGCAGCTGCGGAGCTTTCGCCCACCCTCGTGGGGAGCCCGGACCTTGAGCCCCAAGTCACTGCAGCTCCAAGCCAAGGCCCTCCCACTCTTGGTGGGTCAAGGGGCAGGGGTAAGTGGCCAGGGTGGGAAGGTGTGGTAATCAAGTTTGTCACACGTCTGTTCGTGTTGCCAGAAACGTTTCCTTCCTAACTGACCTGTAGCTTCCACTGTAGCTTCAACAGGAGCTTGTGGCCACTCTCTGGGACCCACTTGGACCCACAGGGTGTCGCTGGTGGGAGGTGACACAGCTAGGGCCCCCCCAGGAGGGCCCTGGTTGAGGGGAAGGCCCCTGCCTTGCCCAGAGAGGCACGGTGGCTCTGGGGCATCTGCAGGAGGGAGAGAGACCCAGCAGCACGTCCTGGGTGCCAGCTTTGAGGTCTTGCGGGGCAGCTGTGCGTGGCTTTGTGCACAAGGCCCGGCAGGCAGGGTCATGCCTCCCTCACTAGGTGGGGGTCCCACGACACCCACCTTCTCAGGAGCCTCCAGTCTGGCCCTGACTCTGGGCGAAACTCAGGGGGCTGGGGGTGCCCACAAGGTTTTGTCTCCAAAGAGCTCCCGGTGCTCAGGCCGGCATGAACAGAGCTGTCCATGGTGCTGACCGACCACCATAGTCCCTACCGCTGGGCAGCCTCTGCCCCTGGGCCTGGGTGTCGGTGGGCTGCGGGCAGGGGTGGGGTGACGGCCTCAAGTAGCAGCCTTCACTAGGTGATTGTGCCTGGTGGCCAGCTGGCCATGCCCCTGAGGGCAGAGGGGCAGGGCACCTGGGGTCCACGTGGGGTGTTCTGAGTCTGGGGAGCCCCCAGCACCTCTGGGGTCCGGGTCCTCCAGGCTTCAGCCCAGGCCTCACTTGGAGGCCAAGTGCTGCGGCCCCTCCCCCCACACCCTCCGGAGAAAAGGCGATCCTGCTGGGGGCGCGGCGGGGCCGGGGCCGGGGCGGGAGCCGCTTAGGACCCTGCAGCGGCACTGGGCCTTGCCCACAACGCACCCCGCTCCCTGCCTGCCCAGCCGGCCCCCGGTTCCGCTGCACACCCCCCACCCCCGTGGACATGATCTTCCTGGTGGACGGGTCCTGGAGTGTCGGCCACAGCCACTTCCAGCAGGTCAAAGACTTCCTGGCCAGCGTCATTGAACCCTTTGAAATTGGGCCGGATAAAGTTCAAGTTGGTGGGTCCTGGCCCCATGTCCTGTGGCCCCTCCGCCGTGGTCCTCACAGTTTCGCCCCAGCTCCCAGGGGCCAGAGCAGAGCTTTCTGCTGCCCGGTGTGGCCTGCAGCTGGCAGGCTGGGCTCCCGGGGGACCCCCGTGGGACCAGGGTGCCTGCCCACTCCTGGGAGGACGTGCTGGCAGGTCCTCTGTGGAGAGTGGGGACCTTGAAAGCATGGGCTCTCTCCTTGGGGACCCCATGCCCAGCACCCCCTTGCCAGGCTTGACCCAATACAGTGGAGACCCCCAGACGGAGTGGGACCTGAACACCTTCGGCACCAAGGAGGAGGTGCTGGCCGCGGTCCGCAGCCTGCACTACAAAGGCGGGAACACGTTCACAGGTCTGCCCCCAGCCCCGCCCTTCTCACTGCCCTGGGAGCCAGCCTCCCTTCCCAGGCTCTTCCCGGACTTGCAAACTTGAACATAAACCAGGCCCAGGGCTGGGTGCAGCCAACCCCACGCCCATCTTTGTGAACTACGAACCACATGATTTTGCTTTGGGAGAGTGTGGATTCTGTCCGGCAGCAAGTGAGCAGTCTCTCCAATAGACAGAAGCTCTGCAGAGGCCGCCAGTGGGCGTGGGCGTGGCCTTGCTGGAAGCAGGCCCCGCCCCCCAGGGGTGTCTCCTTAGCAGTCTGCTCCGTGTTCCCCACACCGTGCCCCCCAACCCCACAGCCGCTCCACGGCAGTCTGTGGGCAGGGGGCCTCTGTGGGCAGGGAGCAGGTGTCACTGCCCTGTGGACACCTCGGCCTGGAGGGCCCGGGATGGCCGGCCATGGTGGGAAGAGCGTAGGGCCTAAGGCTGGAGGGTCAGCCCACCGGGAGGGTGCTGGGTCAGGGTGAGGACCCGTACCGTGTCCCCACTGCTCCCAAGGCCTGGCCCTGACCCACGTGCTGGAGCAGAACCTGCGGCCTGAAGCCGGGCCCCGTCTGGAGGCGGCCACGGTGGTGGTCCTAGTGACAGACGGCAAGTCCCAGGACGACACCCATGCTGCTGGTCGCGTCCTCAAGGGCCTGGACATCGACATCTTCGCTGTGGGTGAGCCACTCGGCCTCCCTGCCGCACCACTGTGGGCTCCCGCCACGCCGGCCTCCTCCCGGGCTGGGGTCTGGTGGCCTCTCCGAGCCTCAGCCCAGAGTCTGCAATGAGGGAAGGCCCGTCCCGGCTCCTGGAGCTGGTGATGATGCCCCAGCCGGAACATGGGCCCCCGAGGGCACTTGGAGGGCGGCCGTAGAGCCGGTGCAGGTGGTGGGGAGCTGGCCGTGAGCTGCATCCTCTGTGAACTCCTCCCCACCACGCCTGGCCTCTGCACAAGCCCATACCCTGTGGCCCCTCCCGGGGCCCTGGGGCCTGGGGTGCACGGCTGGGATGGCCCCCACCACTGGGTGATTGGGGCTGGCCCCAGGGTCCAGCTGTAAGAAATGGCGGCAGCGGCAGCAACAGGGCCCTGCCTCACGCTCTGCGCCCCGTGGGCAGGCGTGAAGAACGCCGACGAGGCGGAGCTGAGGCTGCTGGCCTCCCAGCCGCTGGACGTCACGGTCCACAACGTGCAGGGTTTCCCGCAGCTCCGCACACTGGCCGGCCTGCTCAGCCGCCTCATCTGCCAGAAGGTCCAGGGCAGGAGCCCACGTAAGAGCCCAGGTGCGCAGGCGGGTAGGGGTTGAGGGCGTAGCCCCCCACGCTCGCTGCCCGGCCGCTTTGGACAAAAGGACAGGCTCCTCTTGGTCTCTGCAAGGGCCTCCTAAGACCCCTGCTGCCCGCTTCCGCGGCTCCTTGGGCGTCTGCAGCCCCCACCTGTGCTGCCTCAAGTGGCCGCCAGGGGGAGAGGAGCCTCTCACACCCGCTGCGGGGTGGGGCGGGGGGAGGGGGGCCTTGACCCTGGGCCTTTCCTCCCTCAGCCAAGCCAGCGGCAGCCGGAGACCCCCTCTCCACTCCCACCAGCCTGGTCCTGACCCAGGTGACCTCCTCCAGTGTCCACCTGTCCTGGACTCCAGCCCCACAGCCACCGCTCAAGTACCTGGTGGTGTGGCGACCTTCCAGGGGCGGTGCCCCGGGGGAGGTAAGCGGCCCCCTGCTGCCCCGGGCGAAGTCCCACAGGAGAAGTCACAGCGGGGGAGGGACACGGGGTGTGGCCCCGATCAGGCCCGAGTCATCAGGTGCACTTGGGCCCATGAGCAGGGTGCAGCCGGTGTGGGCACCCACGCCGCCCGCGAGTGCTTGGTTTCTGGGGAGCAGGGCGTGGGGGGGTGCGGGGGACACTTAGGAAGCCAGAGCGGACCCTAGCCCGCCCCATCCGGCTCTGTTCCAGGTGGTGGTGGCCGGGCCCAGCTCATCCGCAGAGCTGCACAACCTGACCGCTAGCACAGAGTACCTGTTGTCCGTGCACGCCGTCTCCGAGGCGGGGGTCGGCGAGGGCCTGCGGGGCCTGGTGACCACAGGTGAGGGCTTCGGCAGTCACGGGTCCAGTCTTCCCCGGGGCGGGGGCACTGCCCCCACGTCCTGTGTGATCAAGGCGAGTCGGTGATCTGCTCACTCTGACCCTTGGCGTCCTGCTCTGGGTACCAGTGACGTCATGCGTGTCCCCGCCCACCTGGACTGGGACTCGTTGCTGTTACTTCTTCCGGGTTTCTGGGACCCCCACCGCCACTGGGCCGCAGCCCCGGGCAGCCCTGAGCCCCATCACATGGCGGTGAGACAGCCTACGACTGATCGTGTGAGGCGCACAGGCCACTGGCTCTGAGCATGCCTGCAAGGCTGTGCACCCGCCACCACCGTCACGGTCAGCACAGAAGCCCTGAAGCTCTCCCTTGGGGTCCAGAAGCTCTCCCTGGACCCCAAGCCCACGGCAGCCCCCTGGGGACCACGGCCCGCCCACCCTAAGCAGAAGCCCACGAGGTGGCCATGTGTCCCCAGAACCGTGGGCTGGAGGCTTGGCCCACGGTGAGATCTGGGGACACTTAGAGTTTGCTGCGGAGCGCTGTGTCCCGGGCCTGTGGTGTGACCTCTGCCTGCGGTGTCCCCTCTTCCAGGGCCTCTGCCTCCACCCCAGGCGCTCGCCCTGGCCTCAGTGACACCCAGGACCATACGCCTCACCTGGCAGCCCTCGGCAGGAGCCACCCAGTACCTGGTGCGGTGCGCGTCGGCCACCCCCAAGGGCGAGGAGGAGGCCAGAGAGGTGGGCGGTGGAGGATGGCGGAGGTGGCTAGGGCGACGCCGAAGGGTGGGGCGAGACGGGGAGGGGCCACGTGAGCGCCGCCCACACAGGTGCAGGTCGGGCAGCCGCAGGTGCTGCTGGGAGGCCTGGAGCCCGGCAGGGAGTACGACGTCCAGGTGCGCAGCCTGCAGGGGGCGCAGGCCAGCGAGGCCCGGGGCATCCGCGTCAGGACCCGTGAGTGCCCGTTGTCCTCACCGTCGCCCACACATCCCCTGTACACCGGGGGGGGGGGCGTGGCGAGTCCCTGAGGCTTTGCTGTGTCCACAGCGCCCTTGGCTGCCCCCAGACACCTGAGCTTCTCCGATGTGACACATGACTCGGCCCGCGTGTCCTGGGAGGGCCCCCTGAGGCCTGTGCGCCTGTTTAGGGTCAGCTTCGTGTCCACCGAGGGCAGCCACTCAGGGCAGGTGAGAGCCAGCTGCTTTCCTGTGGGGTTCCCTGGGGGCCTGGCACACCCAGCTGCCCTGCCCCGCATTCACAACCTGGTATAGGGGGCGCACAGGGCCATCCCCCCCCAGGTCCCCAGTCTGGCCAGCCTGGGGGTTGGGGGACGTGTGTGAGGTGCGGAATTCTAAAATGACCATGAGCGACATACCCGATGAGGTTGGGGACGTGGGATGCTTTGGGGGTGAAAATGCAGCTATCCGCTGTCTGGGGGGTAGGCAGGGCCCCAGAGTAGGAGACCCCACCCCTTCCCCCACTCTGGAGGTCGAGGGCCGTCCTGGGCAGCAGCTCCAGGCCCAGACCATGTCCGCACCCGCCTTGCAGACAGAGGCCCCTGGGAACGCCACTTCAGTCACCCTGGGGCCTCTCTCCTCCTCCACCACCTACACCGTCCGAGTCGCCTGCCTCTTCCCTGGGGGCAGCTCCTCCACGATGACCGGACACCTGACCACGAGTGAGTGGGCCGTGGTGGGGAGTGTCCCAGCCGGGCTGTGACCCTCTGCTCCATGGGTGCTTCGGACCAGCACACACACTGCAGTGTCTGCTCTGTGCGGCCCTGAGCCGGCTGGGACGGGCACCCGTATGGGGCTGATGCCGGGGTGCAGGGCGTGGCAAGGGTTCCCCGGGTGTGGAACGGAGTTGCGGGCTGGGCCACCTCCAGAGGCAGCCTGGGCTCGGTCTGTAGCCTAGTCCAGGGGAGAGGGGAGTGTGGGGACAGCCACCATGTGGAGACGGGTCCCCTCTGCTCCCCAGGGTGAGCCCTGCCCCCCAAAATTCCTTACCAGGCACCCAAGAGCCCTTCGATGAATCACGGAGGGGGTCATCCCGGCCTGCCGCCTCAGTCTCTCTGTCTTGTCTTCCAGGGAAAGTCCCCAGCCCGAGCCGGCTGTCTGTGACCCAGCTGCCTGGGGATAAGGTCCGGCTGACGTGGGCGGCGGCAGCCACGTCCGGGGTGCTTGTCTACCAGATCAAGTGGATGCCTCTGGGAGATGGGAAGGCCCATGAGGTGTGGGGAGCAGACCCCTCCCTACACCCGGCCTCCGGGGGGCTCACACCTCAGGGCGTCACCTCAGGGACCTGCCCGACTGGCCCTTGGCCTGCAAGCCGGGCCCCCGGGTGAGGCCACCACCCGCAGGACAGACTCGGTCCTCTTCCCCACAGGTGTCCGTCCCGGGGAACCGGGGTGAGGCCATCCTGCCCGGCCTGGGGAGGCGCTCAGAGCACGAGATCACCGTCCTGGCCTACTACCGGGATGGGGCCCGCAGCGACCCCGTGTCCCTGCACTATGCCCCCCGTAGGTGGCCCTTGGCTTCGTGGGGCAGTGACAGCAGGGACCCCGGATGCCCCACTGCATGAGCCCAGACTGCCGACTGGTTCCTGCCCCTCCGGCCTGGTTGCTGGGGTCTCGGGGCAAGTGTTCCTGGGGCAGCCAGGGGCCGAAGTCACCTGGCATGACGCCTGCTCACTGGGTCCCCGGGCTGGCCAAGCTGTGGGCCCTGTCTGTCCTGAGACTGCAGGGCAGAGGGGTGTGGTGGGCCCCGTGGGGATGGGAGGGAGGGTCTTGGGTTGAGGAGGGGGGCGGGGCGGGGCTTGCGGCAGTCCCTGCTGAACCCCACCCCCTCAGTCAGCCGGAGCCCGCCCTCCAACCTGGCCCTGGTTCCTGAGTCACCAAACAGCCTTCGGGTCAGCTGGACGCCCCCGACCGGCCACGTCCTGCACTACCGGCTCACCTGTGCACTGGCCTCGGGCTCCGGGCCCGAGACATCGGTGGGTCTCGGAGCCGGGATCCATTGCCCCTTGTGGACCCTGGGGTCCTGGTGGCAGGGGCGGGGGGGAAATGTGTCTGTTGAGCTTAACTGGCAGGGACACGGACAGAAAGGTGCCGAGAGGCTGGACGAGCCGAGGTGCTTGGGCAGGTGGCTCAGGTGACCGGGCCCCCAGGTCTCCGTTCCAGGATCCAGGAGCCACGTGACGCTCCCTGACCTCCGGGCAGCCACGAAGTACAGGGTCCTGGTCTCCGCAGTGTACGAGACAGGGGACAGTGCGGCTGTGGCTGCCATGGGCTGGACGGGTGAGTGGGGACGGACCCCATCAGCCCTGGCCCGGCCATTCGGGGCACGTCTGGGTGGCTGGTACCCTCTCTGTGGGTGTCCAGGGGCTGGAATTTCAACCCCTGAGACGGCAGGACCCGTTCCCTGTCCCTCCCCATCCCTGAGTCATGGGGACCACAGGCCTGGGGACCCCGGAGAGGACAGGATTGCAGGACAGCACCTGTCTCCAGACCACAGGGCAGGGCCCCCACTGACCCCGACTCCCTGTCGCCCCTCAGCAGCCTGCCCGGCCCTCCACCCGAACGGCACCCTTGCAGGTGGGTCCTCCCAGCGACCTGCCGTCCCTTCCTGCCCCCACCTGCTTCTCCTCCTCTGGGGTCTCTGGGGAGTTGGGCCAGGCTGCTGGAGGGCAACCAGGCAGGCTCACCCCTCGCAGGAAGCCCCTCCAGGGTGGCCGGTCCTCTATCCCCCACTCACATCCCCTGTCACTGAGGCTTGTCCAAGGTTGTGTCTGTGATGGGCACAGCGGTGGCAACACGGGGGCCCTGGGTCCTGCCCAGCCCCGTCAGCCCTGCCGACTGGGTTCTGGGTGGGCAGAGGGGTCCCTGGAGCCACTCGGTGAACCCAAGACCCTCCCCACAGAGGGCCGACGGGGGAGGTGTGTCTGCCAGGCGCGGGAGGGCCACCTGTCCTGTCCTGCCAGGTCTCCCTGGGGCGTCCCAGGAGCAGGCGACGAGGCTGCTGAGGCCGAACGCAGTGGGGCCTGGTCAGGGCAGAGGGGAAGGGGCCGCTTGGGACCTGGACAGACCCCGAGCTCCCGGACCCCGCCGCCCAAGGGCCCCACCTGTGTCTGTGTCCCTGCTCCGCCCGCACGACGCCGAGCCCCGTCCCTCCCTCCGTCTCCTGCCTGGCCCACCCTCACGCCCACCCTTCCGTCCCGGGCCCTCCCCACCGGGCCCCAGGCTTTGACCTGATGGCGGCCTTCGGGCTGGTGGAGAAGGAGTACGCGTCCCTCCGGGGCATCGCCATGGAGCCCTCGGCGCTGGGCCCTGCCAGGACCTTCACGCTGCTCAGGGACGCTCAGCTGACCCGCCGGGCCAGGTGAGGGGCTGCGGCCCATGGGGGGGGCCTTACGGGGGGGGGGCCCGGGCACCTCTGGTTGATTCCACAACAGCCTGGGAGGGAGCTCACGCCCTGAGAACCCGTGTTACACATGGGGAAACCGAGGCAGGAGAGCTCATGGTCCCGTGGACCCCACTCTGCGGTCCCCTGGGCCCGAACCCTGAGGAGCAGCCGTGCCCCCACAGCGACGTCCACCCGGCCCCCCTCCCCCCGGAGCACACGGTCGCCTTCCTCCTTCGCCTGCTTCCCGAGACACCACGGGAGGCCTTCGCACTGTGGCAGATGACGGCCGAGGACTTCCAGCCTGTCCTGGGGGTCCTGCTGGACGGTCAGTCGGGTGGGCAGGTGGCAGGCCCAGGGGCCCTGGCGCCTCAGTGGCTACGGGTCCTGAGCAACCCTCAGGCCGGGCCGGGGGCCACGCCCGTCCACCCTGGACTGGCGGGGGTCCAGTGCGCCCCTTGCTCTGCTCCCGCAGCCGGCAGGAAGTCCCTGACCTACTTCTGCCACGACCCCAGCGCGGCCTTGCAGGAGGTGACCTTTGACCTGCCCGAAGTGAAGAGGATCTTCTTTGGGAGCTTCCACAAGGTCCTGGGAGGTTCTGGAAGGACTGAAGCCTGCGACTCTCCTGCCTGAGGGCCTCAGCTGCCCCCAGGCTCTGGAGCAGAACTGCCCCTACAAGTCCTGGGAGGGGCCTGCGTGGGCCCATCTGGTCCACTTCACGGAGGGGAGCCAGGCCCAGCGAGGGGTGAGGGCCCCGAGCCTTGTTCTGCAGCCCGGCCACGGCCATGGGAACCCCTGTCCCGCCTCCAGGTGCACGTGGCCGTGGGACACTCCAAGGTGCGGCTCTACGTGGACTGCAGGAAGGTGGCGGAGAGGCCCATCGGGCCGGCGGGCAGCCCTCCCGTCTCCGGCTTCGTCACGCTGGGGAGGCTGGCCAAGGCCTGGGGGCCCCGAGGTGGCTCATCCGTGGTGAGCTTGGCTTGGTCTTGCCTGGCCAGCCGGGGTTGGGGGCCGGCGGACCGCCCAGTGGAGCCATAGCTGCCGACCGCCTGCCACCTGAATTTGCAGCTCCAGCTCCAGATGCTGCGGCTCGTGTGCAGTGACACCTGGGCAGAGGAGGACAGGTGCTGCGAGCTCCCAGCGCTGGTAGGTGGGCGGGGCCCTCCATGGTGCTGGGGGACACCCAGGTGGGCTTCCTGAAGGAGGTAGCCTCTGGGGAGCATCTCGGAGGTCCTGGGGACAGGGCCAGCTGGAGGTGACGGGGATGGACCCGGCCACAGGGTACCCACAGCCAAGCCTACGGGGCCGTGACTCGTTCCTGGGACTCCCTCCTGCACCCACGCTGGGCTCGGCCAGGCCGGGGGCCTTCCTGGCAGGGAGAGAGGAGTCCCGCTCAGGGCTCGCGCTCCCTGCGCCTCCCAGGCGTGGGTGTGAGGCCTCCCTGAGGTTAGAGCCCAGGGAGGGTCCACTTACCGACGGCCTCCTTTCTCCCAGAAGGACGGGGCGGCCTGCCCTGCCTCCCCTTCTGCCTGCGCCTGTTCCTCAGAGATCTCTGGGCCCCCAGGACCCCAGGGGCCTCCGGTGAGCCCCCCAGCCCCTCCCCGGCCACGTCTCCCAGCCACAGGCGGAGGAGGGAGGCCCCTTCCCTCGGCCCTGGGTGGGAGTCTGGCACCAGCAGCCACCCGTGTGGGGCACACGTCCTGTGTCCCCTGGCTGTCTTGTCCACCCTGGCCCCCTCTTCTGAGCCAGTCCCCCTCCTCTGGTGAGGGACCCAGCATGTCCCACCTGTCCTGGCTGAGGAGGGGGCCCAGGACCACCCTCCCTGCGGCTCAGTGGTGCCCCTCATCGTGGGGCAGGTCAGGGCGCTCTGCTACCTCCAGGGAGGCTCCAGGGCCGACAGCAGGGGGACCGAGGGTCCGGGAGCCTGGCCCTGGGCCGCCTGCTCCCAAGTGTGCAGGGCAGCCAAGGGCTGTGGAAGAAGGAGGGTGCCCTGGTCTTCTCCACCCGACGGTGGCGGGGACTGGAGTTTGTGCCTTGCTCCCCACGGGCCACACTGGGCTCAGCCCTGCTGTGTCCCCGCAGGGCCTCCCTGGCAGGGATGGAGCCCCAGGACAGCAGGGCGTCCCGGGGCCCAGGGTAAGTCGTGGGGCTTCTGGGGGGCCTGGGCGCTGCCTTCCCAGGAAGGGCCCCCAGCACATCCACAGGGGTACCCGACCGTGGGCGGAGGGCCCTCCCCAAGAGGGACCAGCTGCCCACCGCGCACCCGCGACCCTGTCATTGACTGGTCCTGGCCCGGCGACACCGGCAGATGTGCCCTGGCCGCTTGTTCTTGTGCCTGCCAAGAGGCGGTGGCACCTCAGGAAGTCCCTGGGACTCTTGTTGGATGCGTGTCCTTGGGTCCCTCCCTCAGAGGCTGTGCACTGGTGGGGCTGAGCTGGTGGCCTGTGGTCCTGGGTTTAGGTGTTCACGTTCACAGTGCCGAGAGAGTCGGGGTTTTTCTCTGGAGCACTGCCAACCCACAAAGACCACGGGAGGGCGTCTCCCCTGTGGCCTCTGGTCCTTGGAGGCCTGGTGTCCAGGTTCCCTCGCTCCCCAGCTCTGGGCCTGGAGCCGTGGACTGGGGTGGAGGTCCCAGCTGCAGGGGGTGGCAGCGGGACCCTTCTCAGGGGCAGCCGTGGGGTTGGGCCGCTCTGTGGACCGGGGTCTGGATGCCACCAGCTGGCCAGAGGCCTGGGGCTGCTGCCGGGGGCACCACTGAGGGAGGGGCTGCCAAAGTGGCCTTGGGCCTGCTCAGTCCCTCCCCCGCCTGTGTCTCCAGGGAGAACCCGGGCCACCTGGACAGACTGGACCTGAGGGTCCTGGCGGTCAGCAGGGGTCACCAGGGACCCAGGGCCGAACTGTCCAGGGACCCGTGGTAGGTGCCGCTTCCCTGCTCCTCCTCCCTGCTGTCCACCCCCCCGCACCCCCCCCTCCACTGCTCAGTCTGTCTCCCCTCCAGGGTCCACCCGGAGTCAAAGGAGAGAAAGGGGACCATGGACCCCCCGGCCTGCAGGTAGCGGCAGGAGGGGCTTGGGGAGAGCGGCTCCTTCCCGGGTGGGACTTGGCCCCAGCCTGGCCAGCGCCTCTGTTCTCTTTCAGGGCTACCCCGGCCACCAGGGCGCCCCCGGGAAGGTTGGCCTCCAGGGTCCGAAGGTGGGAGAGAAGCCAGCGGGGAGAGTCTGGGGAGGGTGGGGGGCGGCCATGACTGTGGCTGGGCTCAACGGCTCTCACACAAGGCACAGGCGCGGACCCCCATGTGGGCCGCCGTGGGAGGGGCGTGCGGGGGTCTGAGTCCCCTTCTTTGCCCTCAGGGAATGAGAGGCCTGGAGGGCACCGCTGGTCTGCCAGGACCCCCGGGACCCAGGGTAGGCACTGCTTCCCAGAGAGCCCCCAACCCTGCCCACCCCCACTCCCCAAGGTCTTTTGGGGCTGAACGAAGCAAGGTCACCCACCAGGTGGCCTGGGAGGCCCCACTCCCCTGGGCGGGCACCTTCCTGGGTCCCAAGGCCCTGCAGCGGCCGGGCCCTGGCGGGTGGCTTTGCCCTGCCTCCAGGCAGCTCCATGTGCAGCCCCAGTCACACCTGCGCCCCAACTCCACACAGTGAGGTTCTGGGGTTCTTTGGCTACTGGCGGGCGGGCTGGGGGGCGCCTCTGTCACTGAGAAGCACCTTCCCTCCCAGCCTGGCCCTTCCTGGGGTCTGTGCTGAGCTCAGTGCCTGAGCGGGACGCCAGGGAGGGCGGGAGGCAGAGCCGCCCCCTGAGGGGGTGCGGGGCACAGCCGGCAGGAAGGACGGACCAGGGACCTGGTCTGGGCCCAGGGTGGTGGGGACCTGAAGGACCAGGCAGGGCTGGGGGCGGGGGACAGACTCACCAGAGGCTGCAGTCCAGCTGGACCCCGGCCTGTGTGTCTCCCCAGGGATTCCAGGGCACGGCGGGGGCCCGGGGGGCCGGCGGGGAGCGAGGACCCCCAGGGGCGGTGGGACCCACGGTAAGTTCTCTCCCCACCTGACAGCCCCTCGGCCGGTGGTGGGAGGGGACACACATGTGCTGTGTCCCCTCCCCAGGGAGGCTGGTGGCCAGCACGTTTGTAGGGAGGCCTGTGGGTGCGGGGGTGCGGTTCAGGGTCGTCTGCAGCAGGGAGAGTGAGGCTGCCCCTGCCAGGCTGGGAACAGACAGGTGGGGACAGGGGCCTTGGGGAGGGACCGGGCTCCCGCAGGGTCCTGGGAGCCTGGCGGCTGAGGGTGGGTGAGGCCGGGGCAGGGGTGTCCAGGCCTGGCTGGCTCAGGGAAGGGAAGGGTCTGGCCTCCTTGGGGTGGTCCAGTGGCAAGGGCCGTTCCCATCTGAGATGCGGGTCCTGGGGGCCCCGTGGCTCTGACCCTCTGAGGATCAGAGACCGTGCCCACCTGTGGGCAGGCGGACAGACGGCAGGCTGCAGGGTGGCCAGGGCTGCCTGAGTCGGGAGTGAGGGGAGCAGCCAGTGGGGGACCCCCCATGGGCTCACTTCTGTCGCCTCTTCCTCTGGCCCAGGGGCTGCCAGGGCCCAAGGGGGAGCGAGGAGAGAAGGTAAGTGTGTGTGCGGGGGGTCATGGCACTTCCTGGGGGCAGGGGACGGCGCTGGCCCCACCCCACGGGCTGCCCGGTCAGGGCTCCGCCCCGTCTCTCCTCGCAGGGCGAGCCCCAGTCCTTGGCCACCATCTACCAGCTCGTGAGCCAGGCCTGCGAGGCCGCCATCCAGAGTGAGTGGCCCAGCCTCCTGGAGAGGACTCCACGCCGTCACTGTCCCCACAGGCCCAGGCTGGGCACAAGTCCCCCCCAATCCCAGCAAACACAGCCTTGCCTGGCCATTCTCCTTACCACACACCACGGAGTCCGGGAGGCGAGGGGTCTTCCCCGCCCGCCCCCGCTGACTCACGAACCCCCTCCAGCGCACATGCTGAAGTTCGACTCCTTCCTCCACGAGAGCAGCCGGCCCCCACTGCCCGTCTCGGAGGCCTCGGGGCCCCTGATCGCACGCAGTGTGGCCCATCTCCCTGGAGGAGGGAGACACGCTGGACCCCGAGTCGAGGACACAGGTACTGGCCCCTTGGAGAGGCATCTCGGGGGACGATGCCCCTGCACTGTCGAGGGGCTGATTTCTGTGTGGCCGGGTGGGGAGACCAGACCCCTCAGAGGTTGGCCCTGCAGAACTGGAGGCTGCCTGGCCCCCTGCACCCCCACCAGCCTTCTGTCCCCTCCTCCCACCTCCTCACCTTTGATGCACAGGAAACCCGGTCCAGTGACCTTGTCCTGTGTCCATTTCTCTGACTGGGGTGCAGGGCAAATGGAGGGGCTGATGGAGGGGGCCCAGCAAGGAGGGGGGGAGGCGGGGGGGCGGGGGAGGTACGGCACTGTGGGCGGGGGAGGGGCGGGCAGGGCGGGGCCTACCTGTGGGAACCCCCAGCTCACAGCCAGGTGCAGCACCTGGGATCGGCTAAGCTGCAGGCGCTGTCATGGGGACCTCACCCTGCGCCACCCCCACCCGGCCTGCCTCACCCTAAACCTCAGCCACGGGTCCCCCAGTCGGTGCCCGTTGGGGGCTGAGGGAACCCTCCTGAGCTTTCGGCCTCAGTCCGAGGGGCCGGGGCTTCTCCCCTGGGTCCCAATACAGCCCTTCCTTCAGGGGAGCCTGGAGCCCTCGCTCAGACAGGCAGCCTGTGGCCACAGGACAGTGGGGTCCCGGGGCCCCCACGAGGAGCAGGTGAGCCCAGCATGGGGGCAGCAGGCAGTGGGGGTCCCAGGGGAACCCAGCGGGGGCCGAGGGTGCAGGGAGCCTGCCGAGGAGGAGCCCAGGGAGGACCCCGGGCTGGGCAGACGTGGGTCAGGGCACGGGACGGCTTCCCACTCCGCTTGCTCTGCCCGTGGTCGGCCGCTCCGGGTAGTGGGGGCTGGATGGGCGGACCAGGTGTCAGCTGTCCACCACGTCCCCAGTCCTGCCCATCTTCTCTCTGGCCAGGACAGTCCCCCTGCTGCCTCCAGTGACCGGCACCCCCCACCACCCCTGAGTGCCAGACACCACGTTGGTTGGTCCGTGCAGGAAGGTCCTCGGGAGTCTGGGGAGCCTCGGAGGCGGCAGGGCCAGGCGGAGGGCAGGCTGGGACCCCCAGTACTGTTCCCATGGTCACACGGTCACATAAACCTGAGTTCAGCAAGGGCGGCGGCTGCTCATTATGGGAGGGCCAAGGGGGTCCCTGTCGAGTCGTGGAGACCCCCCCACCTCAGAGAGGAGCCACCCGAGGACCCCCCAACCCCACAGCCTCCTCGTTGCCTTGGGGCCTTGCCCCCTTCCCTCAAGGCCACTGAAGCCCCAGCTCTGGCCCCCAGAGCTCGGCGCCCCCGCAGGCCAGGGGTCCTCAGCCTGAGCCACAGGTTGAGTCACCCAGGTAGGGTGGGCTTTGAGAACAGTGCCCAGCCCGCACTCCGAGGCTGGAGTCTGGGTATCTCAGCAGCCCCCTAGCACCCTGCCCCTGGCCATCCTGGCAACTTCGCCCGCTGGGGGCCTCTCCAGCTGATTCATCCATTCAATGCAGAGCAGTTTCCTAAACACCGGGAAGAACTGGGGGAGGCAGGTGGGAAGCCAGCAAGGGGCTCCATGGGGACCTGGGAAGCAGGGGCAGGAATGAGGGAGGGAGGGAAGGTGGGAGGAAGCTCTGCAGGGGCAGGGCCTCGAGAGGCTGGACACGGCTGGGCAGGCCCCAGGCCCCCGGGCACAGGAAGGCTGAGGACGGCTGGGAGAGGGCTCAGCGCTGGGCCTTGGACAGCGAGGCAGGAGGGTCTGGGTTCTGTCCTGAGAGCTGCCAGAAGCCCCGGGGGCTGTGACCACCTGAAGACCCTGGGGAGACAGGCGATGCGGGGCCTCACCCATTGTCCTCTGGGATGGACATGGCTGAGCCCCTGGGCGGGGCGGTGGGAGCCCGGGAGCAGGCCCCGGGCTGGAGAGCAGGCTCCCGGTGCTGGCAGTGGCCGGTTGGAGAAGGGGAGCGGGCAGGTGGGTTGGAGAGTCTGGCATTCCTGGGGCAGAAGTGTGGGCACCGCCATCCCGGAGGTGCGTGGAGGCCAGGGCAGGCGGGACAGAGGCGGCCAGACTAATCCCAGGGCTGAGTCCCAGGCTCCTCGCAGGGGTGGGAGGGGGAGAGCTGGGGGCTCGGCAGAGGCCATTCGTCAGGACGCACCAGTGTCCCGACAGATGGGGAGCTGGGGAGAGTGAGGGGGGCAGCTGGTGGAGCCCCGGGACGAGTGGGCAAGGAGGCCGGCAAGTGGGGACGCTTCTGTGTCTTCAAGGGAACGAGGCTGCAGGGGCCTGAGCTTCCGGCCCTTGATAGGTGGACCCTGCTGTGGGCTGGCCACCCAGGTCCAGGCACACCCCCACACACTGCCAGTGTGCACACATGAGCACACGCACTCACACACCGCCACACGCACAGCACTCGCCTCAGGCTTGGGAGAGGAATTCACCAGGGAAAACGGGGCACCTGAGAGCAAAGCCACGCCGGACGACCAGACAGAGAAGGCTGTGTTCTCTGTGGCCTGTTCACTGAGAACCACAGCATCTTCGAGGAGGGAGGGGCGGTGTTCATGGCGGGAGGCCCAGGGAGAAGCCGACTGGAAACACGGCGCAGAAAACGCATCTGGAGAGGCAGCTGGAGCAGCTCCATGGACTGAGCGCCGGCCTTCAAACCAAAGGGTCGCCAGTTTGATTCCCAGTCAGGGCACACGTCTGGGCTGTGGGCCAGGTCCCCAGTAGGGGGCGTGGGAGAGGCAACCACACACTGATGTTTCTCTCCTTCTTTCTCTTTCCCTTCTCTGTGAAATAAAGTCTTCAAAAAAGACGCATCAGGAGGAGTGAATCCACAGGGTGGGCTGAGTAACCACAGAGGCAGCTGGCAGAGGAGCAGGCGGGCAAGGCAGGGCAGGGCCGCCCCCAGGCCCAGAGGGCGAAGCGGCAGCCGCACCTGCGGCTCCACCTGTGGGCTCCGGCTCCGCTCGGGGCAGGGCTGCGAGCCAACGAGGTGGGGGCGTTGCAAGAACTGGGTTTTTAGGGCCTGAGAACTAGAACTAAGTTTACCGTCTCCAATCGAAAGACTCAGCATGTCAAACAGGGTTGATTTTTTAACTAGATTGGTTCCCATGAAGTGTAAGGAAGACAAAGGGAACATCCTTTAACCTCCCAGGACAAGAGCCGCGGGAGGGTGGGCCTGGGAGGGTAAGAGACCTCCGTGTGGAAGGAAAAGTACTCAGATGCGACGTGCCCCGAAACCCCCACTGGGACGAGCGGGTGCCAGACACACGCCTGCGGGACTGAGGCGTGGCCACAGAACGGACTGGTCGGAGCCAACCGGGTGCTCCGGAGTGAACCCCGGTGCAGGCGGCTGTGGGCTACACAGCCAAGGCCTCCCCAGACAATCCCGCCTGCAGCATCCAAACGCCCCAAATCGTCGGCCAGGGCAGTGCAGGGCGGGGGCAGGACTCCCGGGGGCAGGGGCTGGTTCTGTGGGGAGCGGGGGCCGGTCTTCACACCCAGGAGGTGGCCTCTGCAGCCACATCAGACAGAAGACACAACACGCTCCCTGCTCCGGCGCGGACGGAGCAGCCGACCCACACCCAGGAGAAGCCCGGAGAGACCCAGGGGCTCCTGGTTTTTAGGCATTTTCCGGGGGAGGGGCAATGTTTTCAACAAACAGTGGGAACAGCTGCAGGCTCCAATCGGAACCGTTCATGCTCCACCCTCATCTGCACCAGACACTCAATTCCCCAAACCTGGTGAACCTGAAGGCCCGTGAGCTCTGTGAATGTTCCAGAAGGAAGGGGGGGGTATTCACAAGCTGGGGACAGGCAAGGGTCTCCTACGTGGGCATCCACAAGGCAACGAGCAGAGAAAGAGCAAAGACAACATTGTCCCCCATCAGAGCCCAAAGCTTCTCCTCGAAAGCTGTGGTTAGAACTGAAAAATATGGTTGTGGATGACAGGGAAGCCTTGCCCAACACCCTCAGTCAAGGGCAGACGGAGGCCTTGGACCAGAACACCCTGGGGGGAGCTCCTCCCACTCCCTCCAAGACGAGGAGATGAGAGAACTGTTCCAGCGACACAGCTGGCAGGTGCCTCGGGGCAGCTGTCGAGGAAGACTCATGGCCCATGACCTCGTGACCCCGCACAGGTGTGCGTGCACCTGGAGTGCTCTGTGCCCCAGAGGCTGGCCGGGGTGGGGCCAGCACCCTTGAGGGCAGGGTCTGTTCCTTGATTTCCTGAGAGGAGGGCTATGCCTCCCCACCTTGCGGAACCAGGGGCCGGGCTGGGCAGCTCTGAAGCTACTTAGCACAACCCCAGCAGGCCCTGGGGCACCAGCCTGTCCCTCCTCCCCCGGCCCTGGGTGACTTAGGATGGGAAACACCGGCCTGGAGTGGGAGCGAGAGATGGGGGGAGGTGGGAGCGAGGCCCTGCACCGGCCCTCCGTCTGCCCACCCCCTGGGTCCGCAGCAGAGTCTCCGGGATTGATGCACAGAAATGAGGACGCACCAGCCCGGCGGCGCCCTCCGGTGGAGCAGCGTCCTGGGTGCTTGGAGTCGAAGTCAGTGACCCTCACTCATCTGAGGGCTGCAGACTGTGGGTTCTGTGGCTTGTAAATCTACAACAAAGGCTCTCCCCACCCCCGGTCCCACATTGGAGACGCGCTGCCGAGGCCCGTCTGCTGCGGTGGGAACAGGGCACTTCCATTATCACTGTGCATTTCCTGACGTGTCTTCCTGGTCCCGCATCTGGTGCTCGGCCTCTCTCCCGGCCCAGAGAGGCACGTCTGTGGCCGGGCCCGGCGCCAGGGCTGCTCCTGGCAGATGCCAGCGCATCTGGCGGCCACATTCACTTACATAAGGAGGATTGAGGGCCTCCCGTCTGAGATCTGTGTCCCTGCTCCCCTCCTGGGGCCTGCTGTCCCTACCGCTCTGTCTCACTTGTCCCGGGTGAGCTGCCCTGCGGGGGTAGAAGGCTGCAGTGTCCCAGAATGATGCCCTGAGGCCCCCAGGAAGCGGAGCAGAGCGGGGCAGATGGGGTCCCACGTGGCCTGGGGCCAGAGAGGAGAGGAGGCCCGGACCTTAGACCCTGGGGCCTCTGCCTCCCCCTCCCGGGCAGGAGGACCCCGGGGCGCAAGTCAGGGCCCTCGAGTCACGGCTCTCGGGCAAGGGGTGTCGCTCGGGGTCTGCAGAGGGGCCCTGGCAGTGCACGGCAGGACTGGTCCCTCGCTCTTCCCCCTGCCTCTTCCCTCCACCCAGCGTCACCCCCGGGAGGGGACGTGCTGTCCTTGACTGAGGATCCCAAAGAATCAGGAAGCAGGGCAGCCCGAGCCACCCCCACACCACCCTGGGCAATGTTTTCCAGGGTTTGGGGCGCACTGCCAGTGCCACCAGCACTCGGCCTCCGGGGAATGACACCAGGCCCCCAGGACGGTCCCAGCTTTTAGGCGCCCCCGCCTCTGGGCCAATGGCCCCTGCACTGTGGGTGACAGTGGTCCTTTGGCTGAGCTCCAAGGAAAGGAGGCCTGTGGGGGGTCCCTGCCACCCCCCCGAGGGCGTGGCACCACCAGCACCAAACGTGAGGGTCCCAGTCTGCCCTGGGGGGCTGTCCTCAGGCTCTCCCACCCTCACCACAGCTGAGGACATGTCAGGGAAGTCCCTGCTCATGGGTGGGCCCCAGGGGGCCCTGGTGGGGGCTGTGCACAGAGGGGAGTCTACAGGGGAGGCGTCAGGGCAGGAAGCCTGGGTGGGGACCCAGAGCCTAGGTCCCGGATGCTACTTTGGGTCCCTCGTAAACTCCCAGGGCCCACAGGGACCTGCGGGCCCCGTGAAGTGCTTGCCTGAGACCCCCCAGGACCCCTGAAAGGCAAACCCCTAGACTCCCGAGCCCAAGGGTCCCTCCCCTGTGAGGGCAGAGCCCCACATGCGGGGTCCCACGGGGAAGGGGGGGCTTGGGGCTGGGAGGGCTAAAGGGCGTGGCACCAGGCCCCCACACTGCTGGGACCTTTGCAGAGAGAGAGCGGATGCAAGTGCAGGAGCCTGGCGTGGCTGAGCGCTGGGTAAATTTTAATAAGACCTCCCAGGCCCCAGCCGCCAGAGCACATGGCGTCCACAGGGGGCTGCGGACGGAAGACAGGGGGACCGTCCGGCCAGTGGTGAGCCCCGCCCCCTGCAGAGCCCCCCGGGAGGCAGGCGCAGGCTCCCGAGGGGCCCCTAGATCATGCCAGCCAGCCAGGGCGGCAGGAAGAGGCCCGCGGTCCCCAGCAGGCAGACGAGGACAAACACCCAGAGGAAGATGCGGTCGATGACCATGGCCACGTACTTCCAGTCTTCCTTCACCTGCAACACAGGCCCGCGTCACTGGCTCGGAGCCCGGCACAGACACCCTGTGCTGGGGTGACGTGTGGGGTGGGGGCGCAGGGACGCCACCCTCCCACTGACGGTGCTCAGGGGCAGCGCCCTGGAAGGGGCAACACCACAGCCACCTTGGGAGACGGGGATTCAGTGCTGTGCCCCCAACTTCACCTGAGCCCCGGGGGGCCTTCGGATGCACACCAGGACCCGGCCACTGTCCAGGCCGTTTCACAGTGGCACCTGCTCCCGGCTTGCTAAACCCAGGAGTCACCGTGGGCACGGTCAAGTACCCCCCGTTTTCCAGATGGAGCCAGTGAGCCCAGGGAGCGGCCGCCTGCACTGCCCGGCCGTGCAGGAAAAGGGCCAGGAGCACCCTGGGTAACGGGCTTGACGGGGCACGGTGTCCAAGAGCGGCAGCTGAGGCCCAGGGGCCCTGACCACCTGGGTGCTCAGGGGCCAGCTGCCCAGGTGTCCTAGGGCCCCTCGGGGTCTGTGGGGTCTCTCCGCTCGGTCCCTGGAGCCCCTTGAGGGTGCGGAGCACACGAGAGAGGCAGGCACAGCCCCGGGTGTTGTGAGCAGAAAGGAGGCAGCCCCCCTGCCAGGTCGGTGGGCACAAAGGGACGGGACAGGCCCCTCCAGGCACAGGGCTCCCCAGTCCCCTCGTGGGACCACAGAGGGAAAGGGGGGGTCTCCGTCGCCATTTTCTGCTGGGCTTTTTTTAGTGGTCAGGCATCCTGAGGGGTTCAAACCAAGCCCAAGCAGCTGCCCATTCACTGGGAGCCCGAGAACAAGCAGGGCACTTAAAAATAAAACGTCCACCGGGACCCCGCTGGGGCGGGAGGCGGGCTGTTCCCTCCGCCTTTCATCCCCCACCCCCCCCCCGCCGAGCCTGCGTCCCCCCTTCCCCATCCTGAGGATGAAACTCAGCACAGACCAAAGCCACCGATCATCTGAACCCTTTGTGAAGTCAGCTCGTTCCCCAGAGCAGGCGACACTCGGGAACCAGAACCAGGCCGAGCACGCCGCGGAGGAGGTGCGGGCCGGCGGCCGGAGCTAACCATGCACAGATGTGCCTAGGGCCATGAAGCCTGAGCGGGTGTCCCCATGGTCTGGGCCCAGTTTCTGCATTTTTTCACTGGGCACTCCCTCCTTCAGAGGGCCCCGCGTGGGCTTGGGCACCTCGGGGGCTGCCGGGGTGGGGACTCACCGAGAAGTCCGCGTCCTCCGCCTTCAGGTGGTCTGCGATGTAGTGGACGCCCTCCACGGCCCGCACCAGGGCGGGGGACAGCGGAGGGGGCCGGGGTGGAGTCTTGGAGCCTCGGGCTTTGGAGGTGGCCTTTGGGGACCCCACAGGTGGCTCCTTGCACCTGCATGTGCAGGACGAGGCCTGGGCCGAGGGTGGGAGCCCGGCCCAGGGAGCCTTCGGGCAGTGGGGAGAGCCGGCCGCGGGGCCTTCTGCCTGGGAAGCGGCCTCGTCCTGGGGAACGCAGTACTGGACGCTTCGAGACCGGCACCGGACACCACCCTCTGCGGCTCGGCTGGGGCTGGACATGTGCTGGACGCTCAGGGACCGGGCTGTGGCCGGCCCCAGGGCCTGAGGGCTGGTAGGTGGGCAGCGGGGCCCGGGCGAGGGGCAGGGCCCAGGTGAGGGGCAGGGACTGGCTTTCCCGGCCTCCGCCAGCTGCAGAGCAGGCACCGGCCCGGAGGGCGACGTGCAGGCGGGCTGGGGCTTGACCGCCTCGTCCAGGGGGCCGCAGAAGGACGGGGTGGGAGAGGGGACCCCCTGGCTCGGGACTCTGCTCACGAAGTCGGGTGCCCCCTCGGGCTTGGGCCAAAAGCGCGGGGCGCTGGCCACTTTGTGCATGGACTCGATGAGCCGCCGGCAGCTGTCCTTGACCACGGCCGGCCGCCGCATGAGCAGCAGCCGCGGCACGACGTCCAGGAAGACGCGGCGCACCCAGGCGGGCATGGTGTGGGTGCGCGGCGAGCGGTGGTGCACGTTGAGCACGAAGACGGTGATGACGATGGACAGGGTGACGAAGATCATGGTGAAGAGCAGGTACTCGCCGATGAGCGGCACGACCAGGGAGGTGGACGGGATGATCTCGGTGATGAGCAGCAGGAAGACGGTGAGCGAGAGCAGCACGGAGATGCACAGCGTGACCTTCTCGCCGCACTCGGAGGGCAGGTAGAAGACGAGCACCGTGAGGCAGGAGATGAGCAGGCAGGGCAGGATGAGGTTGACCGTGTAGAAGAGCGGCAGGCGCCGGATGACGAAGGCGTAGGTGATGTCGGGGTACACCTCGGCGCAGCACTCGTACTTGCGGGTGTTGTAGGTGCCCGCGGCGTCCACGATGACCCACTCGCCGCTCTCCCAGAAGTCCCGCTGGTCCACGTGGCTGTGCAGGCTCACCAGGTCGATCTTGGCCTTGTCGTAGGTCCAGGAGCCGAACTTCATGGTGCAGTTCTGCTGGTCGAAGGGGAAGAAGGTCACGTCGATGCTGCAGGAGCTCTTGTAGATGGCGGGCGGCGTCCACCGCACCCGCCCGTCGTGGAAGAGGTGGGCCTTGGTCAGGTGGGTGATGGCGAAGTCCCCGTCGGCACTGGGCAGGGAGAGAGGGGTGAGCCCCGCAGGCCCGGGGGGAACTGTCCAGTCCTGAGCCCCGCCTGCGTGTGGCTGCAGCTGTAGGGCAGGGAGGGCAGAGCAGAGAAGCCCGTCCGGCCCTGCTCCAGGTTCCTGCTCCAGGCCCTGAGATGCCCCATGAGTGGTCACGGGACACCCTCTGCCCCAAAGGGACAGTGTAGAAAAGCGCTGAGCTGGCAGCATGGCCTCACGTGCATGACCTTCACCCTCGGGTGCCCCAAAGCCTTCGGAAAAGCGGGACCCCAACCTCTGCCCTTTGCCTCCCCCAGCAGTGCGGGCTGACCACTCGGCCATGATCAAGTGCACACCTCCGGCCAGCGGCAACCGCTGCCCCTGGAAACGGGCCTCCTGTGTGGCTGAGGCCACCAGCTCAGCTCCTTGCCCCCCCCCCCGGGTCCTGTCCAGAGATCACCTTGATGTCAGCCACAGCCACAGAGGAACTGGTGTCCACCCCGATACCTCCCTCGGGTTCTGGCAGGGAGGAGAGGGTGGAGGACTGGGGGCGGCCCCCCCTTTCCAGGGCCACAAGGTCCCAGAGCTCGGGGTGCTGCAGGGAATTTCTGGCTCTCGGGGAACCCGAGGTTCACCCGGGTCCCAGAGCTGACGCTGATGTGTGCCCCAGAGCGGAGCATGGGCCCCAGAAGGGCCTGTGGGGCGGATGGTGGCTCACAGAGAGCAGCCCCGCCCCGCCCCCCACTCCGGAGCTGCCCTCGCACAATGGGTCCTGAAAGCATCTCCGGGCTCCCTCACGTGTAGCCGCTTCCCCCACGGCAGTCACTGGGGTCAGTTGAGCTGGAAGAGGAGCTGAGTCGTTCCTAATCAAACATCAGCATTTTGTGGGTCAGGCCCAGGCCCGGGGGCCCTGGAGGGCCTGTGTGTGGCGGGTGGGCATCCGGCTGGGAGGCGGGGCCGGGCGCAGGGAGCTGAGTGCTGGTCTCCGGGAGCCCCCAGGGGCCCAGGCTGAGACGGGGATCGTGGGTGTGGATTCGGCGAAGGCTCAGCAGGGACACAGGCACATGGGAGGACGTCGGGCTGCCCTGGGCTCAGGGAAACCCCCGCCCCCGGAGGGTCCCAGGAGGGCCCAGAGCCCAGATGGAAGTGTGGCTGGGGGACCGGGATTGAGATCTGGAATGGGACAGGTCATCCAGGGCTTCCGCTTGTGGCAGGGGACAGATGCTGAAAGCCACTGCAGGCTGACGGAGAGCAGCTCTGGGGGAGGGGGCCCAGCCCCCTTTCCTGGCCCCCTGGGAAAGAGACCGAGGCCAAGCCAGGTGGTGGCCCCCCAACGTCCCTGGGGCTGGCCTGGTGGCCACAGATCCCCTCAGTCTTTTCGCTGGTTCGGGCGAGGCGGGGACACAGGCGGTCCCCTGCTCACCTGGCCTGGGCAGAGCTGCCCTACTGGGACTCCGCCTACTGACGCAGGCCCTGCCCCGCCGCGCCCCGCCTCCGGCTAAGCCCCGCCCCCAAGCCCGGCTGGCTCACTTGTTGTAGAGGACGATGTCTGGCCGCCAGATGAGTTCCGAGGGGATCCGGATGGAGGTCACGTTCTCATAGTCGCTGGGATCCCAGCGCAGCTTGTAGTCGGTCCACTCCTGGGCGGGGCGGGCGCAGAGAGCCGCAGCTGAGAGGCCAGGGGCAGGGGTGAGGGGGCGGGGGCGGGGCAGGGGCGGGGCCCTCCACTCACCTGCTTCACCCACACATTCGTCGTCATCATCTGGTTCTTCTCGTCCTAGGACCCAGACAAGTAAAGCAGTGGTGGCCCCTCCCTGACGGGGCCCATTTCCCTCGGCCCTGCATGTCCTTACCCACAAGGACAGGCCCGGGCTGAGATGGGGTGAATGAGCACCTCGTCCATGGGGGTAACCAAGCCCAGGATGGGACTTAAGAGCTATGGGGACAAGACCGCCCTGAATCTTTCCAGAATGAAAATGAGGACCAGGTCTGGCCAGCTGCAGAGGTGGCTGGGGCCCCGACCTCCCGACTGCGGTGTGTGGGGAAGGGGGCACCCCAGGGCTCCCAGCTGAGGAAGGAGCAGGACAGGCGCTTTGCACGTGGGCGCCAGTGAGCAGGCCCCTGCCCCCTCCTGCTTCCACCAAATCAGCCTTGGGGTGCACGGGGCCCCACTTGTTACACAGCTCTGACCCCCTGCAGCCAATTTGGGGAGAAGAGACCACGTGCCCGACACTCAGGTGACGCCCTCGGTCCTGCGGCCTCTTCTGTGGACCTCATGACAGGGGTGCCTGGGTCCCGTGGGGGACTGGCGGGGCGGGGACGGCAGTCCGGGCCCCACTGCAGCCTCCTGGGCCCGGGGCCACCTGCGGGACTCTGTGGCGGGCCAGGCCCCGAACCTACCACGTCGATGAGCTGCGCGATGGACAGGCCAAAGTGGACGAGCACCACGTCCGAGGTGTTGGCCACGGGCCGAGACCACTTGTTGTAGCCGGAGAAGAGTTTCTTCAGCAGCCGCTCCTCCGCGTGGACCCGAGTTTCCACGTGGCTGCTCGCTGGGGACAGGCGGGCGGGTGGGTGGCTCAGCCGCAGGGTTCAGGGGCCCCGGGGCTGCCCCCCATCCCCCTGCCCCACACCAGGCCGTGCTCAGCTGCCCTGCCTGCTTCCCTCCCTCTCCTTGGGCACCTGCCTCTCACCTCAGGGCCTTTGCCCGCACGGCCCTATCCTGGCTTTGGGTTCTACCCCCGGGGTGACTGCCCCGTCCTCAGGGGAGCCCTCCCAGCCCCCACCCTCTAAGCACAGGCCCCCTCCCCAGAAGGGGACAGTTCCCACAGCACTGATCTGGAAGATCCCCCATGAAGGCTGCACCTCCAGCCACCAGTACAGTCCTGAGAACAGGGCGGGGGGGACCTGCAGGATGGGGTGGCGGGCAGGCCCAGGCAGGAGACAAAAGGGGCGTGAGGTCCCAGCATGCAGTGGCTGCCGCTCCCCGAGTCCGGCCCAGGCACCGGAGAGGCATTGTGAATGCTGAGCCAGTCCCCAGCTCCTTGGGTGGACTGTGTGCCACCCTCTGGGAAGGCTGGAGAGAGCCCCCCGCACTGGGAGGGCCTGTGAAGGGCCCCCTCATTGGGCCCAGCCCCATGGCCCGTGTGTGGTCCCCACACACGCATCATGAGGGGTTGGGGGGAGGGGGAGGGGAGATGCCCCTGTCCATGCGCCCCTGGGTTGGGCCCAGCACCCAGACCCTGCATGCCCAGCCCGCAGCCTCTGTCCCCTAGTCCCTTTGACCGGGAAGGCGCACAGCCAGGGGCTCCGTCCCCCTTCCACGCCTCCCACGCCCCCAGAAGAGCCAGGTGGCTGCCCCGGGGTGGGGCGGTGGAGGGGTAGGGACTCCCCACCCCTGTGGGCTGGGGCCCTGGAAGGGGCGATGCGCCTAGGTCTGCCAGCCTGAGGCAGGGGCTGCCTACAAAGGGCTGCTCCCCGGTCCGGAAGACCAGGGGCCAACACGGGGGCGGGGTCCGCAGGTGGACTCGGCTGGACGGGGGCGGGGGTGGCTGAGACCGGCGCTTCTCCCCACCCAAGGGGGGCCTCTGGGTCCAGTTGCCGAAACAGCAGCTCCCCCGCACAACGCCACGCAAACCCCTCTCCCCGCGTTCGGGCGGATTAACTCCGTCCTTGCCCTGCTCGGCCGGAGGCCGAAGGACAGCCCTTGCGTCTGGGGGTGGGGAGCCCCCGCGGCTGCCCCAAAGCGCGCACCCGCCGCGGGGACTGCAGCCAGGAGCCTCCCCTCCTCCGGCTCTGGTGGTCCCGGGCCGCCCTGAAAAGGTGCGAGAGGGGGCCGTCCAGGTCCCCGAAACTTACCGGGCAGGAGGCCTCCCCCCAGAAGCAGCAGCAGTGGCAGCAGCGGCGGCGGCGACCCCAGGCCCCCCAGCTCCATGGCGCACCCAGCGGGCTCTAGATGCCGGCGGCTCCTGGCTCTGCCGCGCCCCCGCCCCGCGGCCCGCGTGCGCCCAACTTCATGCCCCCCGTGCCGCGCCGGCCGCTCGGTCCACCGGCCCGGAGTCGGGCTGTGGGCTCAGCTGCGCGGCCCCGCCCGGACCTGCCCGCCTCCAGCCGGAGGGGAGGAGGGCGAGAGGGAGGGACCCGGAGGGAGGGGAGGACGGGAGGGGCGGAGGCTGCGCTCGGCCGGCGGGGGTAAAGTTTCCCCTGTCCTCTGGAGACTGGGGGCGTGTCGGAGCCGTGGGAGGGGGCCGCAGTCCCTGGGTGGGACCGGGGGCTGCGGCTCCAGGAGGGGCGCCCTGCATGGGTCTGGTTAACTCCATCGCCTCCGCCCCGCTGTGCCCTTTGGAAACCACAGGTCGCTCCTTATCTGCCCGCCCCGCCCCTCCGCGAGGTTTCCGGGACAGCCCACCCCCATCCGCCTGTCACTGGCCGACCGGCTGTGTGCGCCCTTTGGGGAGTCCGGCCCGAGGTCTCATTTCTGGGGAGCCTCATGCCCCTGCCCCGGAGAAGCCCCGACTTGCAGCCCCCAGGCCCCACCTCCGCGTGCGAAGGCAGCCCCACCGCACACTGTGGGCCGCTGCCCTGGGGGGGCCGAGGAGGGTTAGGGCCCAGCTGCCAGGGGAACAGATGCCCACTCCCCCAGCTGGTCTTCGACTCCAGGAGCCAGAACCAGCCAGAATCTAGAGGCCCCATGGCTGCTGCTCTGTGAGCCTGGGCAGGGGCTTGGCCCTCAGACAGGTCAAGGTAGCCACTGGCAGAGGGACGGGCACCTGGGGGAGGGGCAGAGGGGCAGCTTCACACAGCAGGATCCACGTCTGCAGCGAGGAGAGGTATGCTCCCCAGAAACACGGGACCCACGGCCATCCGTGTACCCCACGTTTTCCCTCAACCACCTCTCCAGCTCGGCGCCTGGGCTCTGTGGGGACTGAGCCCCCAAACGGAGGCCTGGGGTCGGGGACCAGTCAGAGAAGGAGCGGCTGGTGACACCCCGGCACTCCTCCCTCGGGGGCCTCCGCCCCTAATGGGGCAGAGTGTCTGTCAGGGCTGCTCTAGGGTCTCCCCACCCAGACCAGGTGCCCTGTGGGTGACAGGGCCCTCCCCACCTCCCCACTTGCTCGCAGGAGCCTGGAGAGGTACAGACAGAGGTCTCCAGGGCTGAGCCCCGAGAAGGCCCCGGCTCAGCCCTGCAGCCAGCTCAGGCCTCTGGGACCCTCGGATTCACTGGGCCCCCACACGCCCCTAGGAGGTAGGCTCTCTGCTCTCCGTCTTTGAACGAGGAGATGGACACACAGAGAGGTTAAGTCACCTGCCCAAGGTCACACAGCCAGAAGTAGGATTCCAACCCAGGCCACCTGCCCTCAGGCCTGCACCCTGGCTTCCTCCCAGCCTCGGCTAGCTCGTCCCAGGTCTGGCCCATGCCCCCAATGGGATCAGGTCCTGGAGGCTCCCCACGTCTGCCCTCGGGGAAACCGCCTGGGCCACTCGGGCCTGACAGACGCCTCCCACGGACCACCCCACAGCCCCGGAGCCTGGTCTAGTTTCTGTCCCATTTCAGCTGGTATGCCGACCTCCCCCTCACTCCCTTGTCCTCGCCCACCCAAGCCCCCCAGGCAGGGCCAGACCCTGGATTCTGCTGGCATGTTTATGCCTTGTCATGAGCCAGCTCTGAGCTATGACCTGGAATGCTCTGCACGCTGATGAGAGCTGGCCCGAAGCAGGGGCTGGGGAGTTGGCCCTGACCGGATGTTGGGAGGGCAGAAGGGTCCCAGAGCACCGTCCCCAAGGCAGGCAAAGGCCAGCTCCCCCCCAGGGCAGGGCTAGACTGAGCTGGAGCCCCTCCCGGGGCAGGGAGTGAGGATGGGGCTCAAGGGTCCTGCATGTGCAGAGACGTATGGGTGGCCTGGGACCTGCCCGTGCAGCCCTGACTGGAGTCCCCTGCTCCACGTTGTCCCAAAGGCCCAGTGCCCAGTGAGCCCGGTGCTCTCGTCAGTGGGCGAGGCCAGCGTGCTGCCGGCCGCTGGCTCTCTCCCGATGGGGTCAGGATGCTCAGGACACAGCTCGTCCTGCACTCCATCCGCAACCTGGGATGGGGAGGCACAGACGGGGTTTCTCACAGGCTGATAAAGTGCCGTTTGCCTTGTCCCATCTGGTCAAACACTCACCTTTCAGGGTGAGGACACTCCCTCCTGCCTTTGCATTTAGGCTCGTCCCCTGGGGCCTGTTAAAGTTGGGTGTTCCCATGCGTGTCAGGCTGCAGGCAGGGGAGAGATGCATGCAGGGTGAGCTGGGCCAACCCGTGAAGACTTCCTGGAGGAAGGGGTGCACAGGAACGGCGCCCTGGGGAGCACGGACTTCTACTCAGTCGTGTACAGGGTGTTGCCTGGGGAGTTCGCTTCAGTTCCAGGCTCCGGCCACTCACCCTCAGAGACCCCGGGACTGCCCATCCTGGGCTGCGGCCCCCAAACCTGCTACATCTGACAGCTGCCATCAGGCAGCCTGACGCAGGGAGCCGCAGAGTCAACGCCGGCTTGGCCAGAGGACTCATGCAGAGGTCCGGCTGGGCCCCGGCCCCTGGCCAGGGCGATGCTGGAGTGGCCCCCGGGGCCGGGGTCTCCAGGGAGGAACCCGAGGCAGCTCACAGGGTGCCAGCTCTGTCCTCTGCGCCCCTTCGCCTGGGCTCAGGCCACCTCACAGGTGAGCTCAGCCAGCACGCACGCTCACAGGCAGCTGTCCGGCCCCGTTTGGCTCTCCCTGCGGATTTGCTAACGCAGCCAGATTAATCGGGTCTCAGTCATTCATTTGCACGGCCCGCCCTCCCCACCTGCGTCCGCTGGAAATCGCTGGTTTCGGGGAGCTGGTGACCATCACAGCCTCTGCACCAGACTCTTACTCCAGACCCCTCGCCCGCCCCCACCCCCGCTGCTCCTGAAACTATTTCCCAGGAAGGGAAACAGATGAAGAATGAGACAGGCTCTGAGGGGGGCGCCCCCACGCCCCCAAGTCTTGGGCATTTGAGGCAGGATGTGCCCCTGAGGGTGACCGTGGGCGGGGGCCGAGGGGAGGGAGGCTCCCGAGGTCCCCTCACACACGCACCCCCAGCTGGTGCCCAGCCTGCCCCAGGACTGAGGCGGGCGGTGTCTCTGCAGGAGGTGCCCCTCCCAGCAGCCGCCCTCCCAGCCCTCGCCCTGCCCCAAGGACATCGCCATGGAAACCAGTTCAAGGTGAGAGCAAGGATTTGAATTCAAGGTGGGAGCTGCAGCTGGGGGCCCAGTCCGAGCTGCCCAGTGTTGGGAGGCGGAGTTGGGGGCCTGAGGGTGAAGGGAGACCAGTCTGGGGGGGGGACCAGAGCGGGCCTGTCAGCACGGGGGCTCAGGGGGCTTCGGCGACAACCGGGAGGCAGGGTCCTGCCAGGCCTCACCCACAGGGCGGGGGCCGTCCAGGCCTGCCATGCCCCAAAAACCTTCGTCCCACCAGGACCGGGCCGTCGGTGTTCCTGCCGTTCTTCCTGGGGTCAGTCGCAGCGTGGGTGGGTGAACGAATGTCTGTCAAGGGGGCACAAGCGAGGCCAGGGCCACCGGGGGCCCTGTGGGCCTCGTGGCAACCTGCCCTGGGTCAAACCCTGTCCACTTGAGCCAGGAGGACGCAGGGACTGGGGGCTGTTCCTGAGCTCTCAGGCCACCGACGCCTTGGCAGGGAAAAGTGACGGCCACCCAGACCAGGCAGGAGTGAGGGTGCTGGAGCCTGGAGGGGGTCCGGGGCCGCCATCCACCTCCTTGGTATCCTTGTGCCCCGTCAGGCAGGGAGTGACCTCAGCGGCTCTCGACTCACTGCCCCTGGAGAAGCTCCCTGCCCTCCCCCAGGTCTGGGTCACCAACCAGGCTGCCTCGGAAGCAGTCCCCTCAACCAGGCCTGCCGGCGGGACCCTCCCCAACACAGAGGGGGCCTTGCTCGGCACAGCCCTGGGCCGACCCAGCCTCGTCCTCTCTGGGCTCTGGGCAGGACCCAGTCCCACAGCGGGGCCCCTCGTCCAGCACACGCCGCCTGGGAGGCCTCCAGGGACCGTCTGCTCTCAGCACCACGGACAGCTCCGCCCCTGACCAGCCTCCCCCAGCGCCGCCGGGACCGTGGGCCAGCCCTGAGCCTGTCTGGCTGCGTCTGCAGCTCAAGTTCTGGAAGCCACAAGGTGCAGCAGAAATATGGCCGCTGGACCAACGTCTCCAAAGGGGCAGTGCCCTCCTCCTCCAGTTGTGCCCGCTTCCGGCAGACCAGTCACCTGGGGCCACACAGGTGCCACGGTGAGGTGGCGGAGGGGAGATGGCGGCTGTGGCCCCAAAGGGGAGAAGTGCCCAGTGCCCAAAGGGGGCCCCCACCCCGAGACCTGGGTTGAAGCCCTGAAACAGCCTCAAGGAGCCCGGCCCTGCAGGGCAGACTCCCTCCCAGCCCTGCCTCCTCGGCACCCGCAGCCCTGGCCCACCTCTGGAGGGCGGATGCGGGTCCCTGCCCCTGACCTCCGGGAGCACCCCTGGGGTCCTGGTACCTTGCCTTCCACACCCTGCAGGACCTTGGTGGCAGGGTATCGATCTGCCGTTGGCCAGGCTCCGACTCAGGGCTCTGCACGTCCCTGCCCCTCCCCCCCACTGGCAGCTGCTGAGTTGCCCTTGCCGCTGGAGTCCCCACTGGCTGCCCAGGGGTCACCTGGCGGTCAGCCCTCTGCTCTTTCTTGGGCAGGTCCCTGTGCCCACTGCCGAGGAGCCCTCCAAGCTTGCGGGCCAGGGCGGGGGAGGGCCCTGCCACCCACCGGCCCCAGGTGAAGCGTCCTGGCTGCGTAGACCCAGGTCTGCAGCCAAGGACCCTCCACCGGGCTCCGGCCCCGGCAGCCTAACCCAGGACCCGAACTTGCCTCTTGAGCCAGAGACACAGCAAATCATCGGAAGA